CTGCCACTACGCCTGGCTAATTTTTGTATTTTTAGTAGAGACGGGGTTTCATCATATTGGTCAAGCTGGTCTCGAACTCCTGACCTCAGGTGATCTGCCCACCTTGGCCTCCCAAAGTACTGGGATTACAAGCATGAACCACCGTGCCCAGCCAAGGGGCCTTGATTTAACCTGACAAGTGGGCCTCCTGAGGTGTGAGGAAACCTAGGGTAGGGGTGATTCAGTATGGGATTTCCAGCCTTCCTTCTGCCTACCAGGCCCAGCCCAGCCCTGATGGGTTGGTGTGTGACTGCCTGAATGTGGGTGTACGTGTGTGTGTTTCAGAGCCTGACTCCAAACTGGCCCCACATCATTCATCAGGCTTTTTGTGCATTTAGCAATCCCTCCCTGATGCTCACTTAGTCATGAGTCTGTGCTGGGCACTTTGGGACACCCCCAAAAAACTCAGCATCTCCTAGACTTGGGGAGACAAAACTGGACAAAGAATCTTCCAGCACTGTAAGCACAGCCTAGGTTGAAGGGAGGAACAGCAGGTCAGGGAGCTGGGAGGGAGTAAGGGGAGCAAGGGGTAACCACGGAGGCTTCCTGGAGGAAGGGCTCTGCCCCTGAAGGTCGCAAATCCTAAGTAGACCCTAAGGAAAGAGGCTGCCATCCATGACATGCCCCTGGCTTAAAACAAGGCGGTCTCTGCCCCAACTCCAAGCTTTAAAGGGAAATCTGGTGGGGTTCAGGGGCTCACACCTGTCATCCCAACACTTTGGGAGGCCAAGGTGGGTGTATTACCTGGGGTCATGAGTTCAAGACCAGCTTGGCCAATGTGGTAAAACCCCATCTCCACTAAAAATAGAAAAATTAGCTAACCATGGTGGTGCATGCCTGTAGTCCCAGCTACACAGGAGGCTGAGGCAGGACAATCACTTGAACCTGGGAGAAAAGAAGATGTTACTAAGAAAATCATATGGAAGAAGAAGAATATTTACTATTCACTAAGTAGAAGTGTGTCATCATAAAGGTCTTCATCCTCGACAATCACTTGAACCTGGGAGAAAAGAAGATGTTACTAAGAAAATCATATGGAAGAAGAAGAATATTTACTATTCACTAAGTAGAAGTGTGTCATCATAAAGGTCTTCATCCTCATCATCTTCATGTTGAATAGGCCGAGGAGGAGGAAGAGAAGGGGTTGGTCTTGCTGTCTGAGGGGTGGCAGAGGCGGAAGAGGTGGAGGAGGTGGAAGGGGAGAGAGGAGAGGCAGACACACTCCATGTAATTCATTGAAAAAAATCCACGTGCCCGGTGCAGTGGCTCATGCCTGTAATCCCAGCACTTTGGGAGGCCGAGGTGGGTGGTCACCTGATGTCAGGAGTTCAAGATCAGCCTGCCCAACATGGTGAAACTCCATCTCTACTAAAACTACAAAAATTATCTGGGCATAGTGGCAGGCACCTGTAATCCCAGCTACTCAGGAGGCTGAGGCAGGAGAATTGCTTGAACCCAGGAGGCAGACACTGCAGAGAGCCGAGATTATGCCACTGTACTCCAGCCTGGACAATAGAATGAGACTCTGCCAGAGACAGAGAGAGAGAGAGACAGAGAGAGAAAGAGAGAGAGAAAGGAGGGAAGGAAGGAAGGAAGGAAGGAAGGAAGGAAGGAAGGAAGGAAAAAGAGAAAGAGAGAGGGAGGGAGGAAGGAAAGAAGGAAGGAAGGAAGGAAGGAAGGAAATATGGAAGAGGAATTTATTTACTATTCATTAAGTAGAGAATCATCATAAAGGTCTTCATCCTCACTATCTTCATGTTGAGTAGGCTGAGGAGGAGGAAGAGGAGGGGTCTTGCTGTCTCAGGGGTGGCAGAGGTGGAAGAGGTGGAAGGGGAGAGAGGAGAGGCAGGCACAGTCCATGTAATTTTTATTGAAACAAATTCATGCATAAGTTGACCCGCACAGGTCAAACCCATGTTGTTCAAGGGTCAACTGTACTCCATATGACACTCTAATGGCGGACACATGTCATTATACATTTGTCCAAACCCATAGAATATACACCACCAAGAGCAAACCCTAATGGAAACTATGAACTTTGGGTGATAATGATGTGTCAGTGAAGGTTCATCGACTATAACAGGTATACCATTCTGGTGCTGGACAGTGATAATAGGAGACTCTGTGCATGTGTCAAGGTAGGGGGTAGAACTCTCTGTAACTTCTGCTCAATTTTGCCATGAGCCTAAAACTGCTCTAGGCCAGGCATGGTGGCTCACGCCTGTAATCCCAGGACTTTGGGAGGCTAAGGCAGGAGGATCCCTTGAGTCCAAGAGATTGAGACCAGCCTGGCCAACACAGCGAGACACTCATCTCTATAAAAAATTAAAAATAGAGGCCGATGCAGGTGGATCACCTGAGGTCAGGAGTTCAAGACCAACCTGGCCAACATGGTGAAACTCCATCTCTACTAAAAATACAAAAATCAGCTGGGCATGGTGACAGGCGCCAATCCCAGCTACTCGGGAGGCTGAGGCAGGAGAATAGCTTGAACCTGGGAGGCAGAGGCTGCAGTGAGCCGAGATAAAGCCACTACACTCCAGCCTAGGCAACAGAGCGAGAGTCTGTTTGAAAAAAGAAAAAAGGGCCTGTAATCTCAGCACTTTGGGAGGCCAAGACGGGTGGATCACCTGAGGTCGGCAATTTGAGATCAGCCTGACCAACATGCTGAAACTCTGTCTCCACTAAAAATTCAAAATTAACTGGAAGTGGTGTGCGGGCACCTGTAATCCCAGCTCTTTGGGAGGTTGAGGCAGGAGAATCACTTGAACCTGGGAGGCAGGGTGGCAGTGAGCCAAGATCAAACCACTACACTCTAGCCTGGGTGACAGAGGGAGACCCTGTCTCAAAAAATAATAATAATAAAATTAAAAATAAAACTGGGTGCAGTGGTTCATGCCCAAAATCCTAGCACTTTGGGAGGCCAAAGCAGGAGGATTGCTTGAGGCCAGAGTCTAAGACCAACCCGGCCAGCATAGCAAGACCCATCTTTAAAAATAATAATAATAATAGGCCGGGCGCGGTGGCTCAAGCCTGTAATCCCAGCACTTTGGGAGGCCGAGGCGGGTGGATCACGAGGTCAGGAGATCGAGACCATCCTGGCTAACATGGTGAAACCCCGTCTCTACTAAAAATACAAAAAACTAGCCGGGCGTGGTGGCGGGCGCCTGTAGTCCCAGCTACTCGGAGGCTGAGGCAGGAGAATGGCGTGAATCTGGGAGGCGGAGCTTGCAGTGAGCCGAGATCGCGCCACTGCACTCCAGCCTGGGTGACACAGCGTGAGACTCCGTCTCAAAAATAATAATAATAATAATAATAATAATAATAATAATAAAACTGTTCTTTAAAAAAGTCTTAAAATTATTTATCAGCCGGTCACAGTGGCTCACGCTCGTCATCCCAGCACTTTGCGAGGCCAAGGTGGGTAGATCACCTGAACCCGGGAGTTCAAGACCAGCCTGGCCAACATGGCGAAACCCCGTCTCTACTAATATTACAAAAATTAGTCAGGCATGGTGGCGCATGCCTGTAATCCCAGCTACTTGGTAGGCTGAGGCAGGAAGGCAGGAGAATTGCTTGAATCTGGGAGGTGGAGATTATAATGAGATGAGATCATGCTGTTGCACTCCAGCCCGGGCGACAGAGCGAGACTCCATCTAATATATATATATATATATATACACACACACACACACACACACACATATATAGGTGACTTAGATTTTCAGCACTGTCTTAAATTTTGCAGCAAAGAGGATGCCTCACCCTAGTCCCTGCCTCAGCCCACAACCTACACATGGTTCTACCAAGCAGAGTTCCTATCCCCAAATCTTGGGAAACGAACTTGGAGGAGGACATTGTCTCGACTCCCCTGGGAAGTGTCCCCCATTCACTCTATCCCTTAGCACCCTACATCCTGAGCCTCCACTATGTGCCCAGCTTTTTGCTGGGAGGTCCCCCGAAAGAGGACATCTGAGGAGGCCCCGGGGGGGCCCCCAGGGGAATCCCAGGCCTGGCTCAGGCTGGACATTCCCAGGCCCGCCCTGGCTGAGTCCCCAGCCCAGTGGGTCTCCTGGAAACTCCTTGGGGTGGTTTTGAAGTGAGAGCCCCACAGGGAAGCAATTTACATACACAACAGCCTGGTCTAGTCATCCTGCCTCACCTGATGCCAGAATAAAGGGGAGATGGGCCCATTCTGCACGTCTCAGTCACGGGCACCCGGAGAAGAGGAAGGACAATTCACTCTCAGTCCAGGTGAGTCCAGAAGTCAGCTCCTGGGACAATGCCAGGGTTCTGAACACTCAAGCTCAACCCCTGCTCTCAGCTACTGCTGGTGGCTTGGAATTAGGGGCTGGAACTGGATGAGAGGTGATAGCTCCTGGTCCCCGTGGGCTCGGAGCAGGCCTTGGCAAACATTGTCCTCAGCCCCTGCACCCATGCTCTGCCTGAGCCTGAAGTGTTGGTTGCAAAAAAAAAAGCAGGAGGCAGTGCCAACTTCAGGCCTCAGCAAACACCGTCCTCAGCCCCCGCACCCATGCTGTGCCTGAGCCTGAAGTGTTGGTTGTAAAAAAAAAAAAAAAAAGCAGAAGGCAGTGCCAACTTCAGGCCTCTGCTTCTCTCTTCTCCCTCAACACAGCTGGTCTTACCAGTAGAGCAGGCGGCAGCTGAGAGTCCCCTCTGGTGGCCAGCAGTGGCTACAGAGCTGTCACCATGGGGAGGGGACAGGGCTTGCTGGGTTGGCCTCGGTCTACCTCTCTGGAGAATAGGCAGAGTTTATAGAGCCTGAACTACCTGGTCTTCAGGCCCCACTGGGGATGGGCCTGGCTTCCTGACCACTGACCTCAGCCTAGGAGGGACAGAAGAGACTGGGGGAGACTGTGAGGCCCAGATGACCTTGACCCAGGGTACGCTGCCCCATGTCCCTGCTGCCTCCCGCCCACAGCTCTACGAGAGGCAGGTCTGTCATTCACCGCTGGACTTTGACAGTGGCCAAAGGCTCTGCTCAGTTCTCTGTGCCTGTCTCCATCCAGCACTGCCGAGGTTCTCTGCCGAGGCCAACCAGGAATATCCCTTGGAAGCTGGAACCCAGCAACAATGGCCCAGGGTGTCCTCTGGATCCTGCTCGGATTGCTACTGTGGTCAGACCCAGGGACAGGTGAGTCAGGGGGTAGAGTTCTGGGACCAAACCTCTTGGCTCCGCAGAAGGTGTACTGCTGTCCCATCTGTGTCTTGCCCTGCATGAAGTGAGGCTGGAGACTCAAGCTCTCAAAGAACCTCCAGCATGTGGACATAGATATTCCCAGCTCCACAGAGTCAGGGCAAGGATAGGGGGAGGAATCTGTGGCCTGGGGAGCAAAAGTAGGGAAGGCTTCCTGGAGGAGGAGACGTAAGAGCTAGTCTAGGAAGAAAGAGAAATGATTTGGTGGAGAAGCCAGAAAGGGTATTTTTTTTTTTTTTTTTTGCAGAGAAGAACAAAGCTACACAGGAATTAGGTGGTGGACTGGAGAAGAACCTAGATTCTAGACAGGAGAGTGTGGCGAGTAAGACTTCCTGGATTCAAATTCTACCTCTGGCTGGGCCTGTAATCCCAGCAATTTGGGAGACTAAGGCGGGCAGATGACTTGAGATCAGGAGTTCGAGACCAGACTGGCCAACATGGTGAAACCCCATCTCTACTGAAAATACAAAAATTAGCCAGGCGTGGTGGCAGGCACCTGCAATCCCAGCTACTCAGGAGGCTGAGGCCAGAAAATCACTTGAAATCAGGAGACAGAGGTTGCAGTGAGCTGAGCACTGCTGCACTCCAACCTGGATGACAGAGCAAGACTCCATCTCAAAAAAACAAAACAAAACAAAACAAAACAAAACAAAAAGGCAAATCCTGCCTCTGCCACTTCCTTGCTGTGTGACCTTAGGCAGGTAATTTAACCTCTCTGTGCTTCAGATGCCTCATCCGCAAAGGGACACTATCTTAGTCCCTTTGTACTTCTATGCCAGAGTACCTGAAACCGAGTAAATTTGTAAAGAAGACAAATTTACTTTCTTGCAGTTCTGCAGGCTGGGAAGTCCCAGATGCCAGTGCCTTGATCTTGGACATCCCAACCTCTAGAACTATGAGAAATAAATTTCTGTTCTTCTTTTTTTTTTTTTTTTTAAGACAGAGACTCACTCTGTCGCCCAGGCTAGAGTGCAGCAGCACGATCTCAGCTCACTGCAACCTCCACTTCCCGAGTTCAAGAGATCCTCCTGTCTCAGCCTCCCGAGTAGCTGGGATTACAGGCGCCCACCACCATGCCTGGCTAACTTTCGTATTTTTAGTAGAAACGGGGTTTCACCATGTTGGCCAGACTGTTCTCAAGCTCCTGACCTCAAGTGATCTGCCTGCCTCGGCCTCCCAAAGTGTTGGGATTACAGGCATGAGTCAGCACGCCCGGCCAAATTTCTGTCTTTTATGAATTACCCAACCTCAGAGATTCTGTTATAGCAGCACCAACATACTAAGGGGCTAATAGGACCTAATTCACAAGGGTTGTGAAAATTAAATGAGTTAAATTATTAATATATAAGTTACCTAGACTACTAGCTAGCACATGGTAAATGTTTACTGAATGTTAGCTATTATTTGATAACCCATCTCTGAACCAGCTCTGAGCCTAACTTAGCATTTCTAGGTTTGCAGTTCAGCCACTGACATTTCGCCAACATGACACAAGTCCATTCTGCTCCTCCCCCTGCCTCTCAGGCATCTTTCTTTTTATTTTATTTATTTATTTTAATTTTATTTATTTATTTATTTATTTTGAGATGGAGTCTCACTCTGTCACCCAGGCTGGAATGCAGTGAGGGGGTTCTGTGTTCACTGCAACCTCCACCTCCTGGGTTCAAGCAGTTCTCTTGCCTCAGCCTCCTGAGTAGCTGGGATTACAGGTGTGTGCCACCGCGCCCAGCAAATTTTTTCATTTTTAGTAGCGACAGAGTTCTGCCATGTTGATCCGGCTGGTCCTGAACTCCTGACCTCAGGTGATCCACCCTCCTTGGCCTCCCAAAGTGCTGGGATTACAGGCGTGAGCCACCGCGCCTGACCTTTTATTGTTTATTTTTTGTTTTATGTTTTTTGTTTTTGTTTGTTTGTTTGAGACAAAGTCTCACTCTGTTGCCCAGGCTGGAGTGCAGTGGCGCGATCTGGGCTCACTGCAACCTCCACCTCCCGGGTTCAAGTGATTCTCCCATCTCAGCCTCTCGAGTAGCTGGGATTACAGGCACAAACCACCGTGCCTGGCTAATTTTTGTATTTTTATTAGAGATGCGGTTTCACGGTGTTGACCAGGCTGGCCTTGAACTCCTGATCTCAGGTGATCCTCTCACCTTGACCTCCCAAAGTGCTGGGATTACAGGCGTGAGCCACCGCAGCCAGTCCCAGGCATCTTTCAAAATACCTTTCCCTCTAACATCCCCAACTTTTAACTTCAATCCATCACAAAAGACCGTCCATCTCTGCTTCTCAAGATCTGGGGACTTTTCCACTTTTGTCCACTGCAATGTCACTACCTACCTTCTGCCACCTTCATCTCTCACCTCCACACTGTCTCCCCTTTTCTATCCTGGCACCCCAAAAATCCATTTCCTTATGGCAGCCAAATAAACAAATCTAAGCCTAAGAAAGGAGTCTTAGGATGCCAGGCTGGTCACACCTCTCTCCTGCTCATAAACCTGTTATGGCTCCCTAGTACTCACAGACAGTCTGAGCTCTTTAGCCAACAGGCAACAGTCTATGTGCCTCAGTTTCCTCATCTATACAAGAATAGCATTGGGGGTCACGGGGTTATCAGATGGAGGGCTGGGAGCATTGGGAAGAAGTGGAATCAATAAGAGGAAGCTCAGCAATGGGTGGGGTTGGGCTAACACATTCTTTCCTCCTGCAGCCTCCCTGCCCCTGCTCATGGACTCTGTCATCCAGGCCCTGGCTGAGCTGGAGCAGAAGGTGCCTGCGGCCAATGCCAGCCACACAGCTTCTGCGTGGCTGCTGTCAGCCTCAAACTCTGGCCCCCACAATCGCCTCTACCACTTCCTGCTGGGGGTGCAGAGCCTCGATGCTGCAGAGTTGGATCCCTACCCACTGAGCCCAGAGCTGCAAGGCCTGATCAAGGAGGTGGCCCAACATGACGTACGAGAAGGGCGGGAGTACGGGGTGGTGCTGGCATCCGATGGCTCGACTGTGGCTGTGGAGCCTCTGCTGGCAGGGCTGGAGGCAGGGCTGCAAGGGCGCAAGGTCATAAACTTGCCGTTGGACAGCACGGCTACCACTCGGGAGGCTGGAGTCACCTTTCCAGATGTTGTGGCCATTGCTCCAGATGTAAAAGCCACCTCCTCCCCAGGACTCAGGGATGCCTCTCCAGATGTCACCACTGCAGATATTGGAGCCAACTCTCCAGATGCTACAACAGGTTGTCCAGATGTCCAAGCTTCCTTGCCAGATGCCAAAGCCAAGACCCCCCCGACCATGGTGGACAGCCTCCTGGCAGTCACTCTGGCTGGAAACCTGGGCCTGACCTTCCTCCAGGGTCCCCAGACCCAGAGCCATCCGGACCTGGGAACTGAGGGCTGCTGGGACCAGCTCTCTGCCCCTCGGACCTTTACTCTCCTGGACCCCAAGGCATCTCTGTTAACCACAGCCTTCCTCAATGGTGCCCTGGATGGGGTCATCCTTGGAGACTACCTGAGCCGGACTCCTGAGCCCCGACCATCCCTCAGCCACTTGCTGAGCCAGTACTATGGGGCGGGGGTGGCCAGAGACCCAGGGTTCCGCAGCAACTTCCGACGGCAGAATGGGGCTGCTCTGACTTCAGCCTCCATCCTAGCCCAGCAGGTGTGGGGAACCCTTGTCCTTCTACAGAGCCTGGAGCCGGTACACTCCCAGCTTCGGTGCATGAGCCAAGAACAGCTGGCCCAGGTGGCCGCCAATGCTACCAAGGAGTTCACTGAGGCCTTCCTGGGTAAGGAGGTTCCTCACACCCTACGATCCTTCCCATTACAGATACAGACGCCCCCAACTCCATATGTTCAGGGAAGTTGAGGACTAGGAGAGACCAGAGGTGGCAATAAGGGATCTGGTCGGGGGTGGGTGGGACAGCTGCACAGGTGAGGAAATGCCAGAGTTGGGCCTTGAGGGATGAATAGGAGTGTTCATCTGATTTTGTTTTGTTTCATTTTATTTATTTGCATTAATTTATGGGGTACGAGTGTAACCTTGTTACTCGCATAGATTGCATAGTGGTCAAGTCTAGGCTTTTAGGGTACCCACCACTCCAATAACATACATCGACCCATTAAGCAATCTGTCATCATCTTCCCTCCTCTCTCCCCCTCACCCTTCTGAATCTCCACTGTCTATCTTTCCACACACTACATCCATGCATACACATTATTTAGCTCCCATTTATAAGTGAGAACTTATGGTATTTGTCTCTCTGTGTTTGACTCGTTTCACTTGAGATAATGACCTCCAGTTCCATCCATGTTGCTGCAGAAGATATTACTTCCTTTTTTTTTTTTTTTTTTTTTTTTTTTGAGGCTATCTCTGTCCCCCAGGCTGGAGAGTGCAGTGGCACGATCTCAGCTCACTGCAACCTCCGCCTCCTGGGTTCAAGCAATTCTCCTGCCTCAGTTTCCTGAGTAGCTGGGACTACAGGCATGTGCCACCATGTCTGGGTAATTTTTTGTATTTTTAGTAGAGACGGAGTTTCACCATTTTATCAGGATTGTCTCCATCTCCTGACCTCATGATTCACCCTCGTTCTCGCAAAGTGCTAGTATTATGGGCTTGAGCCACCGTGTCCGGCTGACATTATTTCATTTTTTATGGATAAGTAGTATTCCATTTCCTGCCGACCACTATGGACAGCCTCCTGGCAATCATCCTGGCTGGAAACCTGGACCTGACCTTCATCTAGGGCTCTCAGACCCAGAGCCATCCAGGTCTGTGATATATATGATATTTTCTTTATCCAATTCTCTGTTGATGGACACTTAAGTTAATTCCCTACCTTTGCTATTGTGAATAGTGTCCTAATCAACATGTGAATGCAGGTATCTTTTTAATATAATGATTTATTTTCCTTTGGGCAGATATCCAGTAGTGGGATTTCTGGATTGAATGATAGTTCCAATTTATTATTATTATTATTATTATTATTATTTTAGACAGAGCTTCACTCTTGTCTCCCAGGCTGGAGTGCAATGGCACGATCTCGGCTCACTGCAACCTCCGCCTCCTGGGTTCAAGTGTTTCTCCTGCCTCAGCCTCCTAAGTAACTGGGATTACAGGTGCCTGCCACCACGCCCGGCTAATTTTTGTATTTTTAGTAGAGAGAGCTTCACCATGTTGGCCCAGGCTGATCTCAAACTCCTAACCTCAGGTGATCCACCCACCTCAGCCTCCCAAAGTGCTGGGGTTACAGGTGTAAGCCATCACCCGGCTTTTCTGTCTTTGTAATAATAGCTATTATGATTAGAGTAAGGTGATATGTCTTTGTGGTTTTAATTTGCATTTCTCTGATGATTGGTGGTGTTGAGCATGTTTTCCTTTGCCTATTGGCCATGTGTATATCTTCTTTTGAAAAATGTCTATCAATGTCCTTTGCCCACTTTTTAGTGGGTTTTTCTTTCTTTCTTTCTTTCTTTCTTTTTTTCTTGAGTTGTTTGAGTTCCTCGTAAATTCTGGGTATTAGTCGCCTACCAAGTGCATAGTTTGCAAATATTTTCTTCCATTCTGAAAGTTGACTGTTCATTTTATTGATTATGTCTTTGGTGTGCAGAAGCTTTTTGGTTTAATTAAGTCCTGTTTGTCTATTTTTGTTTCTTTTGCCTGTGCTTTTGAGGTCTTAGTCATGGATTCTCTGCCTAGCCCAACGTTCAGAAATGTTTTCCTTAGGTTTTCTTCTGGTATTTTAGAGGTAAGTCTTTAATCCATCTTGAGTGAATTTCTTTTTTTTAATTTTTTTTTTTGTTTTTTGAGACGGAGTCTCGCTCTGTCGCCCAGGCCCTGGGAGGTGAGTGGCCCGGATCCAGCGCACTGCAGCTTTCAACCCTCCCGGGTTCCAACGCCCATTTCTCCTGCTCAGCTCCGAGTACTTGGTAACTACAGGCGCGCCGCCACCATGGCCGGGCAGTTTTTTTGTATTTTTTTAGTAGAAGACGGGTTTCACTGTTGTTAGCCAGGATGGTCCTCGATCTCCTGACCCGTGATCCCACCCGTCTCGGCCTCCCAAAAGTTGCTGGGATACAGTGCTTGAGCCACCGCGCTGGCCTTTTTTTTTTTTTTTTTTGAGAACGGAGTTTCACTCTGTTGCCCAGGCTGGAGTGCAAATGGCACAATCTTGGCTCACACAACCTCTGCCTCCCAGGTTCAAAGTGATTCTCCTGCCTCAGCTTCCCCGAAGTAGCTGGATTACAGCATTTCCACCACAACTGGGCTAATTTTGTATTTTAGTTAGAGATGGGTTTCCGCCATTGGTGGCAGGCTGGTCGTCGAACTCCCGACCTCAGGTGATCCGCCCGCCTGTCGAGCTCCCAAAGTGCCTGGATTACAGAGCCTAAGCCACGGCGCCTGGGCTTCGTCTTTTTTTTTTTGAGACGAGAGTCTTGCTCTGGTCGCCCAGGCTGGCGTGCAATGGCACAATCTCGGCTCACTGCAACCTCCACCTCCCAGGTTCAAGCGAGTCATCTCATGCCTCAGCCTCCCAAGTAACTGGGGTTATGGGCATGTGCCATCATGCCTGGCTGATTTTTGTATTTTCAGTAGAGACCAGGTTTCACCATGTTGGCCAGGCTGGTCTCAAACTCCTGACCTCAAGTGATCCACCCGCCTCGTCCTCCCAAAGTGCTGGGATTACAGGTGTGACCCACTACGTCCGGCCCACCCTCAATTTTTTTTAATAAAAATAAAATAGATTTAGTTGAGTATAGTTAGTGCCCAAGGAGAACCAACGTGGAGTGAGACTGGACCCTTTCCAAATCTGACAGGAGGCTGAGGGATGGTCTGTATGTGCGCTTTAATGGGGGTGGAGGGGGCAGGCAGAGAAATACTTCCTGACCCCAGCCTTGAATCCCCTTGCCTGTAGGATGCCCGGCCATCCATCCCCGTTGCCGCTGGGGAGCGGCGCCTTATCAGGGCCGCCCGACGCCGCTGCAGCTGCCGCTAGGATTCTTGTACGTGCATCACACCTACGTGCCTGCACCACCCTGCACGGACTTCGCTCGCTGCGCAGCCAACATGCGCTCCATGCAGCGCTACCACCAGGACACGCAAGGCTGGAAAGATATCGGCTACAGGTGGGAGGGGCCCGACCGGGGCGGGGGCGGGACCCACATTCGGGGGTGGGGTCTGAGTGGGTGGAGCCTGATGCAGGGAACCGGGTCTGAACTCGAGGTTCAGACCTCTGGCAAGACCAAGGAGGAGCTGGCAAGACCAAGGAGGAGTCCTGATAGGGACAGACAAGTTGGAGAGGTGGCGTGGCCTAGGCTAGGGGCGGGGCCTTAACAGGGACCGGGAATAGCTAAACCGTGGGACTCGAGTCAGGGTAGAGAACTAGGACAGGAGGCGCGATCTGGGAGAGGAGCGGGACCTGTGGCAGAGTCTGGGTCTGGGGCCAGGCAGAGATGGCCTAAAACAGACAAAGAGGCCTGGTGCGGTAGCTCCCACCTGTAATCTCATTACTTTGGGAGGCTGAGACGGGAGGATCGCTTGAGTCCAGGAGTTCGAGACCAGCCTGAGCGATATAGGAAGACACCCCCCCCATCTCTACAAATAAAAAAATTAAAAAACAAAAACAAAAACAGCCGGGGGTGGTGTTGCGCACCTGTAGTCCCAGCTACTCGACAGGCTAAGGTGGGAGGATCGCTGGATCCCAGGAGTTCAGGCTTGAGTGAGTTATGATCGCACCTCTGCACTCTAGCCTGAGTGACAGAGCGAGAACCCGTCTCGAAAAGAAGAAAGAGGCCGGGCGTGGTGGCTCACGCCTGTAATCCCAGCACTTTGGAAGGCCGAGGCGGGAGGATCGCCTGAGGTCGGGAGTTCCAGACCAGCCTGACCAACATGGCGAAACCTCGTCTCCACTAAAAATAAAAATTTTTTTAAAAAAATTAGATGGGCGTGGTGGAGGGTGCCTGTAATCCCAGCTACTCCGGAGGCTGAGGTAGGAGAATCGCTTGAACCCGTGAAGTGGTGGTGACAGTGAGCCGAGATCGCACCCTTGCACTTCAGCCTGAGCCACAAAAGCGAAACTCCATCAAAAAGGAAAGAAAGAAAAGAAAGAAAAGAAAGAAAGAAAGAAAGAAAGAAAGAAAGAAAGAAAGAAAGAAAGAAAGAAAGAAAGAAAGAAAAGAAAGAAAAGAAAGAAAGAAAGAAAGAAAGAAAGAAAGAAAAGAAAGAAAGAAAGAAAGAAAGAAAGAAAGAAAAGAAAGAAAGAAAGAAAGAAAGAAAGAAAGAAAAGAAAGAAAGAAAGAAAGAAAGAAAGAAAGAAAAGAAAGAAAGAAAGAAAGAAAGAAAGAAAGAAAAGAAAGAAAGAAAGAAAGAAAGAAAGAAAGAAAAGAAAGAAAGAAAGAAAGAAAGAAAGAAAGAAAAGAAAGAAAGAAAGAAAGAAAGAAAGAAAGAAAAGAAAGAAAGAAAGAAAGAAAGAAAGAAAGAAAAGAAAGAAAGAAAGAAAGAAAGAAAGAAAGAAAAGAAAGAAAGAAAGAAAGAAAGAAAGAAAGAAAAGAAAGAAAGAAAGAAAGAAAGAAAGAAAGAAAAGAAAGAAAGAAAGAAAGAAAGAAAGAAAGAAAAGAAAGAAAGAAAGAAAGAAAGAAAGAAAGAAAAGAAAGAAAGAAAGAAAGAAAGAAAGAAAGAAAAGAAAGAAAGAAAGAAAGAAAGAAAGAAAGAAAAGAAAGAAAGAAAGAAAGAAAGAAAGAAAGAAAAGAAAGAAAGAAAGAAAGAAAGAAAGAAAGAAAAGAAAGAAAGAAAGAAAGAAAGAAAGAAAGAAAAGAAAGAAAGAAAGAAAGAAAGAAAGAAAGAAAAGAAAGAAAGAAAGAAAGAAAGAAAGAAAGAAAAGAAAGAAAGAAAGAAAGAAAGAAAGAAAGAAAAGAAAGAAAGAAAGAAAGAAAGAAAGAAAGAAAAGAAAGAAAGAAAGAAAGAAAGAAAGAAAGAAAAGAAAGAAAGAAAGAAAGAAAGAAAGAAAGAAAAGAAAGAAAGAAAGAAAGAAAGAAAGAAAGAAAAGAAAGAAAGAAAGAAAGAAAGAAAGAAAGAAAAGAAAGAAAGAAAGAAAGAAAGAAAGAAAGAAAAGAAAGAAAGAAAGAAAGAAAGAAAGAAAGAAAAGAAAGAAAGAAAGAAAGAAAGAAAGAAAGAAAAGAAAGAAAGAAAGAAAGAAAGAAAGAAAGAAAAGAAAGAAAGAAAGAAAGAAAGAAAGAAAGAAAAGAAAGAAAGAAAGAAAGAAAGAAAGAAAGAAAAGAAAGAAAGAAAGAAAGAAAGAAAGAAAGAAAAGAAAGAAAGAAAGAAAGAAAGAAAGAAAGAAAAGAAAGAAAGAAAGAAAGAAAGAAAGAAAGAAAAGAAAGAAAGAAAGAAAGAAAGAAAGAAAGAAAAGAAAGAAAGAAAGAAAGAAAGAAAGAAAGAAAAGAAAGAAAGAAAGAAAGAAAGAAAGAAAGAAAAGAAAGAAAGAAAGAAAGAAAGAAAGAAAGAAAAGAAAGAAAGAAAGAAAGAAAGAAAGAAAGAAAAGAAAGAAAGAAAGAAAGAAAGAAAGAAAGAAAAGAAAGAAAGAAAGAAAGAAAGAAAGAAAGAAAAGAAAGAAAGAAAGAAAGAAAGAAAGAAAGAAAAGAAAGAAAGAAAGAAAGAAAGAAAGAAAGAAAAGAAAGAAAGAAAGAAAGAAAGAAAGAAAGAAAAGAAAGAAAGAAAGAAAGAAAGAAAGAAAGAAAAGAAAGAAAGAAAGAAAGAAAGAAAGAAAGAAAAGAAAGAAAGAAAGAAAGAAAGAAAGAAAGAAAAGAAAGAAAGAAAGAAAGAAAGAAAGAAAGAAAAGAAAGAAAGAAAGAAAGAAAGAAAGAAAGAAAAGAAAGAAAGAAAGAAAGAAAGAAAGAAAGAAAAGAAAGAAAGAAAGAAAGAAAGAAAGAAAGAAAAGAAAGAAAGAAAGAAAGAAAGAAAGAAAGAAAAGAAAGAAAGAAAGAAAGAAAGAAAGAAAGAAAAGAAAGAAAGAAAGAAAGAAAGAAAGAAAGAAAAGAAAGAAAGAAAGAAAGAAAGAAAGAAAGAAAAGAAAGAAAGAAAGAAAGAAAGAAAGAAAGAAAAGAAAGAAAGAAAGAAAGAAAGAAAGAAAGAAAAGAAAGAAAGAAAGAAAGAAAGAAAGAAAGAAAAGAAAGAAAGAAAGAAAGAAAGAAAGAAAGAAAAGAAAGAAAGAAAGAAAGAAAGAAAGAAAGAAAAGAAAGAAAGAAAGAAAGAAAGAAAGAAAGAAAAGAAAGAAAGAAAGAAAGAAAGAAAGAAAGAAAAGAAAGAAAGAAAGAAAGAAAGAAAGAAAGAAAAGAAAGAAAGAAAGAAAGAAAGAAAGAAAGAAAAGAAAGAAAGAAAGAAAGAAAGAAAGAAAGAAAAGAAAGAAAGAAAGAAAGAAAGAAAGAAAGAAAAGAAAGAAAGAAAGAAAGAAAGAAAGAAAGAAAAGAAAGAAAGAAAGAAAGAAAGAAAGAAAGAAAAGAAAGAAAGAAAGAAAGAAAGAAAGAAAGAAAAGAAAGAAAGAAAGAAAGAAAGAAAGAAAGAAAAGAAAGAAAGAAAGAAAGAAAGAAAGAAAGAAAAGAAAGAAAGAAAGAAAGAAAGAAAGAAAGAAAAGAAAGAAAGAAAGAAAGAAAGAAAGAAAGAAAAGAAAGAAAGAAAGAAAGAAAGAAAGAAAGAAAAGAAAGAAAGAAAGAAAGAAAGAAAGAAAGAAAAGAAAGAAAGAAAGAAAGAAAGAAAGAAAGAAAAGAAAGAAAGAAAGAAAGAAAGAAAGAAAGAAAAGAAAGAAAGAAAGAAAGAAAGAAAGAAAGAAAAGAAAGAAAGAAAGAAAGAAAGAAAGAAAGAAAAGAAAGAAAGAAAGAAAGAAAGAAAGAAAGAAAAGAAAGAAAGAAAGAAAGAAAGAAAGAAAGAAAAGAAAGAAAGAAAGAAAGAAAGAAAGAAAGAAAAGAAAGAAAGAAAGAAAGAAAGAAAGAAAGAAAAGAAAGAAAGAAAGAAAGAAAGAAAGAAAGAAAAGAAAGAAAGAAAGAAAGAAAGAAAGAAAGAAAAGAAAGAAAGAAAGAAAGAAAGAAAGAAAGAAAAGAAAGAAAGAAAGAAAGAAAGAAAGAAAGAAAAGAAAGAAAGAAAGAAAGAAAGAAAGAAAGAAAAGAAAGAAAGAAAGAAAGAAAGAAAGAAAGAAAAGAAAGAAAGAAAGAAAGAAAGAAAGAAAGAAAAGAAAGAAAGAAAGAAAGAAAGAAAGAAAGAAAAGAAAGAAAGAAAGAAAGAAAGAAAGAAAGAAAAGAAAGAAAGAAAGAAAGAAAGAAAGAAAGAAAAGAAAGAAAGAAAGAAAGAAAGAAAGAAAGAAAAGAAAGAAAGAAAGAAAGAAAGAAAGAAAGAAAAGAAAGAAAGAAAGAAAGAAAGAAAGAAAGAAAAGAAAGAAAGAAAGAAAGAAAGAAAGAAAGAAAAGAAAGAAAGAAAGAAAGAAAGAAAGAAAGAAAAGAAAGAAAGAAAGAAAGAAAGAAAGAAAGAAAAGAAAGAAAGAAAGAAAGAAAGAAAGAAAGAAAAGAAAGAAAGAAAGAAAGAAAGAAAGAAAGAAAAGAAAGAAAGAAAGAAAGAAAGAAAGAAAGAAAAGAAAGAAAGAAAGAAAGAAAGAAAGAAAGAAAAGAAAGAAAGAAAGAAAGAAAGAAAGAAAGAAAAGAAAGAAAGAAAGAAAGAAAGAAAGAAAGAAAAGAAAGAAAGAAAGAAAGAAAGAAAGAAAGAAAGGCATGGTGCGATCCTCGTACCTTTCAGGCTCTCGGGAGTAGCTGCGGACCAACAGTGCATGCGTACCTGGGCCTAATTTTTTAACTTTTGTCTGGTTTTTGGTTTTGAGGAAGATGGGCCGGTCACTATGTTGCCCATGCTAGTTCTTGAACTCCTGCGGGCTCAACAATCCTCATTGCCCTCAGCCTCCCAAAGTGCTGGCGAAGTCACAGGAATTAGCCATGAGCCTCCTGCTGCTCAGAGAGACGGAAGCCTTGTTTGTTCACCCAGGCGGGAGTGCGGTTGGGCTATTCACAGACGATGACTGTGGGGTCATTGCAACCTTGAAACTCCTTGGCGTTTCAGGCAATCCTCCTGCCTCAGCCCTCCCAAGTTAGCTGGGCTTGCAGGTGCATGCCGCCATGGCCCAAGGCTAAATTTAAAATTTTTTTTTTTTTTTGTAAAGACGACAGCGGTCGTCAACTATGTGCCCAGGCTGGTTTTCATTACTCCTGGGCCTCAGCGTTAGCTTCCTCCTGGCCCCTCAGCCCTCGCAGTGGCTGGGGGACTGCAGTATGGTGTATGCCACCACGCTTGCTTTAATA